CTGTCTCTATGACATGTTTTCGGTTGTTTTACCTTTGGTTTCGTTTTTTTTTTCAAATTTTGATTTAACATCGCTACGACTTATTAAGTTGGTGTTTATTTGTTATCATGATGATCTTCCTTACTTTAGACTCTCAGATTGAATTTAGATATACAATTTGCGTTCATGGATATTATTTTCACATTACTTGATTATGATTTGAAGTATATCGGTGGTCTTTCAATATCTTTATTTTCTTTTGTGGTTCGTTCACCGATGTATTCAGATCTATTCATATTTATCTCTTGTTCGAGTATAAGAGTTTATTTGGTTAGGTTTTATTCCTTGTGTGATTTTAAGTGTTAGTTTTCTTGTGTTTAGAAAAACATTCTTATTATATATTTAGTTACATTTATGGCCGTAAACCTTCATTTTAATTTGAATATTTTCTATTTTCAATAAAACTAATGGTTTCTATCAAATAAATAATAAATAGATATAAGTATGATATCATGTATGTTCTTTATCAGTATCCCTATATTCAGGTACTTGAGGTATGTATATATAATTTTTCGGATACTAAAATATTTTATTTATGTCCCGAACTATTGAACTCGGATGCATGTATTTTCGGATTATAAATATCCAATTTATATTTATTTTATTTTTTCTTTAAATTACATTACTTTTAGAAATATTATCATATAAAAGACATGAAACTTAAAAAATCATAATATAGAATTTAAATATCTAAATTACACAATTCAAAAGTAACTTTTTTTAAGAAATATAAAATTTAAATTTATTTGAGGATAAAAAAAAATTAAGATGCTAGAATGAAACAATCTTTTAAATTAGAGATTTTAAATATTAGAGTGAAATAATTTAAAGATCGAAAATGAAATTTTAATATAAAATAAAAATAGAGAATAAGATAATCGACCACCCGACAAATCAAAAGTCGTGATCCATGATCCGTAACACATTAAAAATTACTATTTAAATAATTAACCTAAGAGTTCAAATATTTTTAAATAAAAGTATTTGATAAATTTTATTAGGTTCAACGGACCATATAGGTAGAAATAATTGTAATTATATGTAGTAAGAGAAAAATAAAAATGAAATAAATAAAAGAGAAACTAAAATAGTAGCAGCGAGAGATGGAGCTAACCAAAAAGAAAGCCGAGCTGAAAATATAATGAGCATTGGCATTAGCACGACAAGGAGAGAACGGGAAGGAGAAAACTGAAAAAGAAAATGGACTCTAAATATACAGATTATTGTATATTGGAGTAATATTTATAAAAAAAAAAAGAAGAAAGAAGGAAATAATTAAAAAAAATCGAAAGAGGGAGCCAAAAAGAAATCAATAGAGGCTCCTAACAATCCAACCCCGACACCAACCAACAACTGTTGTGGCGCTGGATTTCTCTGCAATTGCTGAAGCAACTTGCCTAAGGTCAGCCTTCTTATCAATCCTTTTAAGCTTCTCTTTCGTTACTCCTTGCTTATTTTGTCTCTGCAATTCCAGCTCCCTTCCTCAACTCTTACCCTACCCAACTCCACTGATCTCTTTCCCTCGACTTCAATTTCCTAATTTCCAACCTTTTCCCTTTTTCAGTTGCCGGTAAAAGCCATACCTTCGTGGTTTCAATTGCTGCACTGTTTCCTTTGTTTTTATTTGCTGTTCCAACTCTAGGGTTTTCATTTGTGCTTTGCGTTTATTCAATTCGGCTTTGTGTTTTGTGGGGGGTTCTGTTTATTACTTAAGTGGAGTTTGATCCCTAGGGTTTTGATTCTGCCTAGATGAAATTTGGGTTTGCATTGTATGAACGGTTCCCCTGTGGAGTTTGTTTTTCTTTCTTTCTCTGGGATTTCATGCTTGCTCTTTTTCTCTCAATATGCAGAGATTAAGAGTTCGGTTTGCATTATATAGCATGCAAATCGGTGGATTCGGATTCATTTGGCATCTGAGAAAATTGTAAATTGGGGTGGAAACAGGTCTCGGTGGATTTATAGTTCTGTGAATCGTGTAGAAATCTGCTTATTGAGCAATGCAACCACAGCAGGGCTCCAGAATCAATTTAGGCGAATTAAAAGCTCAGATAGTGAAGAAGATTGGGGCTGAGAGGTCAAAAAGGTATTTTTATAATTTGAGTAGGTTTTTGAGCCAGAAGCTTAGTAAAAGTGAGTTCGATAAGTCATGTTACCGCATTCTGGGAAGGGAAAATCTGCCACTGCATAACCAGTTGATACGTTCAATATTGAAAAATGCATGTCAGGCTAAGACTCCACCACCAGTTCATGAAGTAGGTCCCGCTAAATCTTCGATACGAAATGTGAAAAGTTATGCTGGTAGAGATGATGGGCATGAGCCAATTGGATCCCTTGTACCCAACCTGAATCCAAACATGGCTATTTCTTCAAATGGGGTTTTGTCATTGTCATCCCTGCGAAAGGTTAGATCTGGAATACAGGATAGAAAGCTCAGGGATCGACCCAGCCCGTTGGGGCCAAATGGAAAAGTTGAGAGTTTCTCACATCAATCCATGGGTACTGAAGACAATGGCAATAAATTGGGTCTAGAAAATGGGGATTTGTCGTCATATGACTATCAGAGACCATTGCAGCATCCTCAAACAGTTGCCGAGCAGCCTGAAATTGAAAGAGAAGGTTTGGGGGGTTCCACAGGAAAACCAAGGGTGCTTATCAAAGGTCTAACTGAAGGAGCTGTTGTTGAAGATGGGGAGGGGGTGGAGCAAGCCAGCCACATTGATTTCTCTAGAAATCCTTTGCTTGCACCTCTTGGGATTCCATTTTGCTCAGCTAGTGTTGGTGGGGCCCACAAAGCTATGCATGTGGCAAGCATTGGCGAGTTCATTAGTTACTATGACAGTGGTAGTTTGTATGATACTGAGACATTGAAGAAACGTATGGAACAGATCGCAGCAGCGCAGGGCCTTGGAGGGGTTTCATTGGAATGTGCTAATATGTTGAACAACATGTTGGATGTATACTTGAAAAGACTGATTAGATCATGTGTCAATCTGGTGGGATCAAGATCTACATGTGAATTGAGACAGCACTCTGCCCACACGCAGCAGCCCCAAAGCAAGCTTGTTAATGGTTTTTGGTCAAGTAGTCACATGCGTATGAAGAGTTGCTCTGGGCCTACAGAAGTTTTGCAGGAAAAGCGGCAAGGGTGCTCAATTTCTTTGCTTGATTTCAAAGTTGCAATGGAGCTAAATCCCCAGCAGCTGGGTGAAGATTGGTCATTGCTTCTGGAAAAAATCTGTATGCTTTCGTTTGAAGAATGAACTCCCAACAAAAAAATGCTTATCATGAAGCTGTTATAAAGATATGTTCATCCTGGTTCAATGTGCTTGACTAATGTTGAAGCTTCCAGTTTGTTTACATTTACTGACATGAACCAGATTGTTCCCAGTCAGATAAAGCTCTGGCCCTTGCAAGATTAAATTCTGGGTGTGAGTGTTGGGATGCCTCATGCCTATACCTTGCCGCAGAGCTGGGACGGATCAGATTATTATTTTTGAGCAACTGAGCTGAAGTGCTAAAAAAGGAAGAACTTACAACTCGTTGCTCTGTTGTACAATTAGCATTGTTGTTGGTTGTCTTCTACAGATCTCAATCGTTTCTTGTAATTTACAGCCATTGAGGAGGAAATCTGAGAAAGTTTTGCAGAGACACTGCCTTGTAACTTGGTGAAAGGTAAATTTATTTTTGAAAGAGCTGCAGCATTGCTCTATATGTAATCTAGAATCCGAGAATAGATTGAGTTTCAATATTAATAAGAAGTCGACATCCATTAAATTGTCCGTGTGGTTTATATTATGATTTTCTGCCGATGACCACTGAAAAATGTATTTGCGAGGCTTTGATTCGATGTTTTTGTGGATTTATGATTTGCTAATTGTAATTGTCATTTAAAATATTTGGTGGCATACAGTTTTCCGTAGTGCTCAAGCTACTGTTCTTATTTTGTTGATTGAATATCAATGCTTGTGAAGATCAGTGTAATTTGTTACGTTGTATGTACGGGAAACATAAGGCAGTGGCATGAAGAACAAGAAATCTTGCGCATTTTTAATTTATTAAAACTATCTGTCCTGGAACCATGTTATTCCCCGGCCATAAAACTGAGATTCTCTATTATATAATATTGCTTTGATGGAGAGATTTTTTTTTTCAGGTTTTGGTACCTTAGTTGATCGTTCAACATTGACCAATCAATGCCGTCAACGTCCTAATTGATTATTCAAGTGCCACTTTGAGAAAATTTACCAACTTGATGAACCAATTAAGTTTCAATCATGCACACCAATCACATAAGAGATCCTGTATCGCTGTTTATCAAACTTTCACATTACCGGAAAATTACAATTACATATACTGTCTTGAAAGAGCCACAAATGTCCAAAAAGATATTTTGTTTTACTAGCAATCAAATACCATTATTGTTGGCGTGATTATTATTCCTAAACGGTTGATCATTTTAGCGTTGTTTTTTAAAAGTGTGGTTGAAAAATACTTTTTAGGACTTTTGAAAATTACTTTTAGATTATTTGGTAATGTATTTTAAGCTGAGCAGCTGCTTTAGCTTTATATAGTATTGGAGGTAGGTGGCGCCAACTAATGTTTCTAAAATATGAAAAGCCAATATGGGTAAAGACCAAAGAAATGTGGTTGAAGAGGTCAAAAGATGCCCAATTTTGTGGGATGCCCTGCGTGTATATAGACCGTTGAGTTGTGCGATATTGTCGCTCCTTTTCCCTTTGATTTCCTTTTATCAAACTAAGAAAACAAACCAATTTATCTTTATCATCTCCTTCATATACAATAAGTCTTCTTTATATCAATTCATTTCGTCCATAAAACTTGGTTTCATTCTCAAGGCGGTACGCGGTCTTTCTCCCCTTCTTTTTCAAGGTGGTGCTCGTGCCAAGGTATATGTACATGCATAAGTGATTAACAAAAAAATAAATAAATAAAGGAAGTGATTTATATTTGATAATAATGCAGGTTTGTATTGCAATTTTGATAATCAGAGAAACGAAATCAATAATTTATGGCGACCACAAAGAGAGAAGTTGGCACTTCGGTGAAAGAGAAGGGCTCTTCCCCTGCGAATTTGAAGCCTTCTCCAAGAAAACCTTCCTCTTCGGCTTTAGGTTCAAGTGAAAAACAAGTACCAAACTATCTCAAGCCCACGAAGTCCTCACGCATTGATGTTGCTCTTAAGACTTTAAAGAAACCTGCGACCGAAGACGCCACCCAAAATCCCACTGTTCTCAGGAGAAGATCCTTTGATAGGCCTCCATCGGCTGCTCGAGCTAACAAGGCACTTGTCTCTCCCGTTCGACCTAAAACGGCAGCAGGAGCAACATCCTCGTCTTCTTCTGTTACTTCAAAAGCGGCTGCTGCACCCAAGGCACCCTTGGAAAAGGTTGCCAAAAAGCCAAATGCTCCGGCGAGACCACAGACACAGACGTCATTTTCGTCTAAGAGCTCGCACAAATCTCCCTCTACCAATAGTACTAGGACTAGGAAGGGATCTTTGACTCCTCCTTCGGCTTCAAGGAAACCTCCGAGCAGTCCTGATAGAAGGGAAGCATTGTCTGTTGAAACCGAGCATAAAAATAAGGAAAATTTGGATCATCAAGTTGAGCCTGAGGCTGAAGAGGTTGTGAAAGATGATCAGGGCCAAGTGGATGATACCAAAACACCAAAAGCAGATCAAGGTGAACTGGATGATACCGAAACACCAAGAGCTGAACAAGGTGAAGTGGATGATAACGAACCACCAAAAGCTGAAAAAAGTGGCAACACCAAAGATGAGGCCGTGGAGGTTGACGAAGATACTACTCAGGTCACAAGTGTGGTTGATAAAGGAGGAAAATATACTGCTGATATTTCTAATCCAGTTTCAGAACAACAAAATAAAACTGATATTTCCAGTCCAGTTTCGGAACATCATACCGATATTTCTAGTGCAGTTTCGGAACAACAGAATGATATTTCTAGTTCAGTTTCGGAACAACAGAATGATATTTTTAGTGCAGTTTCCGAACAACAAAATGAACATGAGCCTCGGCCTCAGCCTCAGACTGAAAAAGTGGAAGATGGGGTTGAGCAAGTAAAATCAGATCACATTGCTCAACTTGATGATGGAGATAAGGAGAGTCAAAGCCAAGAGGAGATCATTGATGATGATAATCCTCAGCAGGAAAAGACTCATAAGGATCAGGAAGAGAACCCTGAAATTGGACATGGAGGAGAAGAACATGCAACTGAAGAGGTGGCTGCAACTAAAGAAGAAAAAGAAGAAAAGCAACCTGAAAAAAGGCAGAAAAAGGATAATGAAGGAAGTGTGCAACAGGGACTTGAATCCAGTAACGAAGAAACAGTTCAAGAATTAGACGCAGAGACAGAGGTAGAGGAAGAGGCAAAAACAGAGGTAGAGGAAGAGGCAGAAACAGTGGCAAAGGCAGAGCCAGAGGCAGAAATAGAGGTAAAGGCAGGGGCAGAGCCAAAGGCAGGACCTGAGGCAGAAACAGAGGAAAATGTAAAGGTAAAGTCAGAGGCAGAAGGGGAGGAAAAGGTAGAGGCAAAGGAAGAGGTAAACGTAGAGGTAAAGACAAAGACAGAGCCAGAGCCAGAGACTACAAAAGTCATCAGCAAGAGCCAAGTACAAGGAAAGGAGCCTGCAAAACCATACAATAATTTGATCAAGGAGACAGCCAGTAAACTAGTACAAGAGAGGAGGAACAAGGTGTTAGCACTTGTTGGGGCATTTCAGACTGTCATAGATAAAGAATCCCTTCGCACCAAATGAACATGGTTCTCTTCCAAAACCGGCAGTGATATAAATGATCTAACGATGTCCCGAGATTCACACTCAGTTGCGATCAACACTTTGTATGCCACAGCTCATAGATTTCTCATCACCATCTACACCGCATGGAGACATGCCATTGTTTATTTTATTTAAAATTTTATTCTTTCTTCTAACTTTGCCCTGATTCTTTGTATACAACTCAATGTGGTAAAATGGTAATAACAAGTTAAACAACCCAAACTTGCTAAAGCTTATCCGCCGTGGGAAACAAATCAGCAACAAATAAACACGATAAAGTTTTATTTACTTGCATTATGGTGATCTCGGCTTCTGATATTTGCTGAAATAATATTGTGATTCCCTCCATCGGCAAACAAAAGCACGCATCATGGAGAGATAAAGGTGAGGCTTGGGCCTCAAGCCCACATTTGCATCAGCCCGCTTTAAAATTTCTCCAAATATGCAAAGGGCAGCTAGGAATGTGCAAACTTTTGGTTCATATATTATGTGCATGGCTCCGAGTGTGACCTTAGCAAAAGTTCTAGTAAAAACATTAGCATACAGATATTTAAAAATTTACCTTGGAGTTACACCCAATAAGGATAAACTTAATGCATGTTCCAAGCAAATGTAATCAGCATGATGAATTCCAACACCAAAGGTTTTGAAGCCATGCTGCCATTGATTTCAGGAGCTACAAGCTCAGTCTGCCAGCACATGTGCAGCTCCATCAGAAATTATCGAAGTTGCCATTTATTGAATGACATCTGAATCTGACAGGCGTGCATTATTCAATGCCGCAGGGTGCAGCCAAGCTAGATGGTACTACAAGAAATAGACTTCATTACCTACAGTTCTGTATTTGACCAGAAAAATGGTGGAATTATGGTAAAACTGAAAATGTCAAGTTACCTAGATAAAAAACATCCAGCCATGTGGTTACTGGTCAGTCAATATCTTCCAGCTGGAGATACAGACACCGAGACACACTTTACAGAGAGCTCCAATCCCATCTCTTGTCTATAAAAAGTTGCATTGTCTAAACAATATTTCAATTCAATGCAGTAAAGAAAACAGAAGACGATGTCTAACAATACCGCAAGAATCACCTCTCGAAGAACGCAGACAATGCATAGAATATGTTGGGTATTTGTGTGCGAAAAAGATGAGAGGGTCAAATATGGGCAGCTGCGACCAGGGGCCTGTCCCTACTGTGAAGGCAAGCTGCAAGCTATGAATATAAAGACTAGCTGGAAGTTGTTCTTTTTGCCACTATTTTTCTGGAAGAAGAGGAAGATCTATTGCAGCACCTGCGCAAAGTAGATGTCTGATGCCTGCCGATAAGCTTCATTTCGTTGTAGTTGCCGAGTGTTAAGCATAAATAAGCTTATTATAATCGTAATTTGTAAGATTAGTGTGGAATTTTTATGTTATTTGCTTGATCTATATGTATTTTGGTTCAAAATCGGAAGACCATTTATGTTTGTATTAGCATTTTCTGTCATCAAAGCCAATTATATTAGCTAAATGCTTGTTTAATGTTTATGAATATTGGAGGCTGTTTAGCTTGATCAGTATATGCATGAGGCTGTTGACTTTAGTTGCAAGTTGTTAGAGTGTTAGTTAGGAGAACGGTTAAGGCTGTTAGATTTGTTGTGCAGTTACAACTAGTTGTGCAGTTAGGAGATTGTTAAGAGTGTGTGTATATAATCCTTGTCGATGTATCTGAAAATGTGAATAATACATTACTTAGTTTCTTTCAATTCTTGATATCTTAATATGGTATCTTTCGCTGAACGTTCTGGGCGGTTTCTTTGTGTTTTCGCTGCTTGAAGACTCATCATACTGACTGCTAATAGATCGTCTTCTTCAATGGAATCTGTTTCGAGGAATGCTAAGACGTTTTCTAATATGAAGGTTAACGTCATTCTTGAAGAAGAAATTTTTTTGTTGTGGAAACAACAACTTTTGGTTGCTCACTGTTCGTAGCCATAGATTAGAACGATTACTCACAGATTCGATGTCTTCTTCGTCGTCAACGGTGCTTGATGATTCCGGTGAAGTTGTATTGAATGAACTGTATGAAGAGTTTGTGGCTCAGGACAGTGCGCTTGCGTCCTGGTGAAATAGCATCTGCGGTTTGGAATATTGTGCTTCAGTTTTTCTCGAATAGATCTACAATCGTTGTCATTAGTTTGCATTATAAGCTTCAGTCTCTTAAGAAAGGTGATGAGTCAATGAGAGTGTATCTTACTCGAGTTAAGGAAGTCTGTGATGCCCTAGCATCTTTTGGCAGTGTTGTGTCTCAAACTGTGCATGTTGCTAGTATTATGAAGGGGTTGCCTTGTGAGTATTAGCCGTTTGTGGTTGTCATAACCACTATAAGGGAGACAATATCTCTTGATTCTATCTACACCATGTTGTTAGATGCTGAAACTTAGTTAGCAGGGTTTTTTGATCTACTCGAATCACTCTCTATGAGTGCTCATATTGCTCAAGGGCAGGTGTCAGGTAAATCTGTAGATCAATATGAGCGTAATGCTTCCTCTCGTCAGGTGTATTCTCGTGGACAATATGTTGGTCGAGGACGAAGTAGATCTCGGTTGCAGTGCCAACTATGTGGGAAGAACGGCCATCTAGTTGATAGATGTTGGCATCGGTTCGATGAAGATTTTCCTGGAGTTACAACCAATAGTAACTCTTATTCAAAGAATGAGTCTGGTACTGCTTATTATGATGTCAATAATTGTAAGGATGGTGGGTGTGACTGTGGTACCACTCATAAGTCTAGATCTCAGCATTGACATAGTTTAAGCCACAAGTTACACGTGAGCATTGTGTTGTGGATTCGGGTGCCACACACCATGTTACTTCTGATGACATGAATCTCTCTCAGACAGTTGATTTTAACAATACAGGTAAATTAATTGTTGGTGATGGTGTTGCGTTAGATGTTAAATCTGTTGGTCGATCTCCTTTATATACATCCTCTCATGTTTTGTTATTGACTGATTTATTACATGTGCCAAGAATCTACTCTCGGTGTCAAAGCTTGCTAGGGATAACAATGTTTTCTTTGAATTCCATGCACATGAGTGATGTGTACGTGATAAAAAGACTAGTGTAATTTTGCTTCGAGGAAAAGAAGATAGTGGTTTATATTCCTTTGTTGTTGATTCATCAGTTGAAGATTGTTCCAATACAGAAGTTTATACAACACAGTTGTCTAAATCTGTGTATGATTTGTGGCATCAGCGTTTGGGACATCCCTCGCATGATAGCCTAGTCACAGTTTGTAAGGAACTAAGTGTAATTCTTCCTTCAAGTATTAATAATACGTGTGTTGCCTGCCATATGGGAAAAAGCCATAAGTTATCATTTCATGCTTTTACAACTGTGTATGATACTCCTTTTCAATTAGTGTTTACAGATCTTTGGGACCCTCACATGTTGCCTCTAATGGTTATAAGTACTATGTAACGTTTGTTGATGCTTGCATCAGGCATTCGTGATTATATTTGTTAACTGACAGGTCTCAAGTAGTCATAGCCTTTGAGATGTTTAAACAAATGGTTAAGGTGTAGTTTGATTTGCCTATAAAAGTTGTCCAAAGTGATTGGGGAGGTGAATATCGTAGGCTGTCGAGCTATTTACTGAAAGTAGGCATCACACATAGGCTTACATGTCCACACACCTCCGAGCAAAATGGTGTGGTTGAACGTAAGCATCGCCATGTTATAGAACTTGCTCTTGTTCTCCTTGCTCAAGCTTCGATGCCAGTTAGGTTTTGGGCTTATGTTGTGGTTACTATAGTCCATTTGATCAACAGGCTTCCTATAAGGGTCATGCAAGGAGTTTCACCATTTGAGAAGTTGTTTCATAGGAAGCATGATTATAGAGAGCTGAAGGTGTTTGATTGCCTTTGTTTTCCCCATTTGAGACCCTATTTGAAATATAAATTAGATTTTCAGTCCAAACCTTGCACGTTTTTATTATATAGTACACAACATAAGGGGTTTTAATGTCTTGTTGTTGATGGTAGGATTTATATAACCAGACATGTGGTATTTGATGAAATGCAGTTTCCTTTTGCAGAAAAGTGTGCTCAATCGCCTACTACATCTAGTGTAGGTAGTCCATCTGAGTCACTAGAAATTGTAACTGATATGTGCAAGCTTCATAATGGAAGATGTATTGTTGGGTCTGGTAGAGGTACAGTGGCTAGTAGCAGTGGTAGTCATATTAATCTACCTAGTGCCAATTCTGGTCCTGGAATGCCAGAGGCAGCAGATAGTGTTCCAGATGTTGAGCAAGAAGTAACAGTTGTAGCCCCATGTGTTGAGCAAGTTGTTGATGCTGCTGAGCAAGATGATGTTGTTGAGCAAGATGATGTTGCTAGCTCTCATATGGTGTTCAGGAGTTGTATTTTTGTGATGCTTCTGTATCAGGTGTAGGTGATATGTGTAGTGAACTAATGACCAGGCATCCAATGATGACAATGAGTAAATGTGGAATATTTAAGCCAAAGGCTTATACTAGTTCTCTTGTTGATGAAGTACCAGTTGACATTTATGAAGCACTTAAGTCTTCCAGCTGGAGAGAAGCTGTTCAGGCTTAATTAGATGCAATACAGCGGAATAATACTTGGTCACTTGTCGAGTTACCTAAAGGACGTGAGGTTGTTGGTTGTCGGGTAAAAAGAACCCTGATGGGTCTATTGAAACGCATAAAGCTCGCCTTGTTGCCAAAGGATATTCACAAGTTCCTGGTTATGATTTTAAATAAACATACAGTCCTGTTGTAAAATTTACCACATTAAATGTAGTTCTTTCTATTGTTGTTGCAAGGAATTGGCCCTTGAGACAAGTTAATGTGAATAATGCATTTCTGAATGGGGACCTGACTGAGGATGTGTTTATGCAGCAGCCGCCTGGGTTTAAGGAGTATGTTGCTGATGGTGGTCGACTTGTGTGCAAACTTAACTAGGCACTGTATGGACTTCGACAAGCACCAAGAAATTGGCATGACAAACTTAAATTCAGTTTGATTTGGTTGGGCTTTAGTGAATCTCGAGTTGATGTATCTCTCTTTGTAAAGAATATTAGAGGTTGTTATACGTATATCCTTGTTTATGTTGATGATATTATTGTTACAGGTGGCC